AATTCGCTGCAACTAGTGTCGGAAGTCTCAAATGAGGAAGAGGTGAATACTAAAAGTGATAATCTCAAACTGATCATTTCCGTGGTGAATGACTATTCCAATCTGTTGATGACTGACGAATTCTGAATCGCTATTGTGAAATAATTAATTATTGAAATACTGATAGCAGCTCTACGAGACTGACAAGCGGGGAGGGGCGGATTGTTGTCTCTAATAGTCTTTAGCCGTTGTCTGTAACCGAATTGCTTAACGTGGCTCCGTGAAGTCACGGAGGTTAAACGAATTAGACTCGTTCCTGGTTAGGTCACTGGCTAGGAACTCTGGGTCTAACAGCACCGAGACCCTGGCCGAAGGGATAAAAGGCGATGACTGACTACGGCCGGCGAGGTTACAGGAGGATTATTCCACGTTCGAAGCCGAATCCGAATGGTCAGAGAATTTAGTTTCGGAAAACGTAACCGAAATTTATAAAAATAAGTCTAAAAATAAGCTAATAAATTCATTGGAAGAGCGGAAATGTAGCTCAGCCGTCTTGTTGCAGCTGTGGTGGCGTGCGTCGCAGGCACGCAAACAGATGCGCAGCGGGAGGCGCTGCGTCAGGTAGCAGAAGCCAACAATGCATTCAGCACCGACCTCTAGCAATGTAGTATAGACTATGAATTGCCTTATTTTACGCTGGCGAGACTCGGGCCATCAGCGCCCGCTCTTCCCGTTCTGACAACGCAGGATTCGATACACTCAGATTCAATCAACTAGAGAGACGGAGTATTTCTTGGCGATGAAAAACAGGCGAATTTGAATTTAGGCTCAGAGGCGTCATTTAGGCTTGAGGATCTTTTACATGCAAAGTAAGTCCTGACTACAGTGGGACACAGCCGCTTTTACTTCCCCTCCGAAGGAAGGGCGTCGAAGGCATTTTTCGCCTTAAAAATCCTACGGCTTCGTTCGGGTTTGAAACCGGGTACCGGGATCCGGGTACAACAGTCCGGTACGCTAACCGTTACACCATCGCCGCCGCAACTATTTAGCTATGCATATTTAATTTTGAATCTTTTAATGCATATAATTTTAAATTATTTTTTTATTATTTTTATTATTTTTATTAACCATTTACCATAGTTTTTTTTAATTGTTACATGGAAAAAATATGTGCAGATTTTCTAGAGGCCAGGAATCCATTCTTGCTCTCCTTTACTCAGTGTAATTATGAATAAAAGTAGCCACAAGCGTGTTTAAAGAAAATTGATTTCGTTTTTGTGTAATAGAAACTGTTTGCATTAGAAGACGAGCAACAGACTTCATCTCATCCTTTACGTTGGTTGCGTCATTGTTTTAACTGCTTTATTCATAAAGAGTGGTTAGTGAGTAACTCCAACGGGCATTCCTCCTTATTTTAGTTCGGTCACTGTTATTACCAGTCATTATACAATGTTTAAGTAAAACATTCGCAGATGAACTTTATATCGCAGATACAGGAGAGTAGCTTTACAACTTGACAGTTTGGTATTAGAGAATTTATGTATTCGGAAGCGGTTCAGTGGCAAAATAACTATAACTGCTAGAAAAAACGCGAACCATGACCTAAATTCTAATGTCAGCGGTCATGCATCCTTCATTGACTAGAAGTCAATTTCCAAAACGAATCATTGTTTCCTTCTGACATAATCGAAGTGAAGCCAATATAGTAAGAGACCTTGCTTCAACACAAAACTCACTCACTGGCAGACTAATTGCAAATGGGAGGAAATAGGTGTTTTTTCAGTTTTCACATAATCCCGACATCAATCACAAGACTTGGGCAAAAAGAGACCTCATTGACGAGTTATTCGGAACGAGTGATCAGTTTCCGCTCGACCATCGCGATTTCCTGAATTCATCGACGCGCTCGTTTTTGCGAGGCAGTAATGAATAATGGCATTGCTCGCAGATGGTTAAGTAAAAACATTCCGCAGCAGATTTGCTTAAAGAAGTTGATGACCAGAATCTATTATTTTATTAACGATAAAAGAAGGCCCGAAAAAAGTAAATAAACATGCTTTGCAGTGACAGAAGAATACTAATGCAAGTGATTTTTTTGCAATTTTTACAGACATTTTTGGTAATAATGAAGACAGTTGAAGTTACCTTTTACAGTTTATAGTAAAGAGTTGCTTTGTAGGGAGTAAATTAAATCCTTTTTCGTTTAGTGAATTACATATGCTCATTAATTTCATGAAAACTCGTTGATTATCTCCGCAAACAGCACGCGTGAAATTAAAATTCAAGCGAGCAATAAAACTACACACCTACCAATCACAATTCAGAAAAGAAGATAAATCGTTTAATTAAGAAACTTAACACAGACGTAGCCAAGGTATTTCCAGTCGGCCATGAAACAAGATTAAAAATGTGCACCACAGATTACTTACCTAAAACTACAAATAAAGAACGAATGAATAAAACTAAATTGGGGAAGTAAACGTTAAACTAGCTGACTTATGAAACAACATAAAATATTTAACTTGAATAAATTAAATGTTTTAAATGTACAACATTTGGTCTTAAGATTAAAAATATAAAATATTTAAATTTCAGGTATGTTTACAAGTTCTAAAAAGTCCGCTATAGTAAAATCGTGTCAAAGTGACTAGTTCCCCCCCCCCGTCCAATATTTATACATCTTTCTCATACTTGTCTTTACGTTTCGTGGGAAGTAATGTTTTAATGATTTTACTAGCTTCTATTTTTTATCCGAAATATGTTAAATACTTTCCATTTGGAAAGATTTCGTGAAAAAAAAGCAATGCAAGGCCCACTAAAATATATATTTTTCAAAATCAATACTAGGTCATGAAATGTATAACTCGGGTGTTTTAATTTTAATAATTCTTAAATGGAAACGAAAAAATATTGAACGTAGTAAGTGTATAAAGGGATGTAATTGCACTCGTGGTATATAAGAAAACTCGTATATAAAAGTCGTATCGTTGCTAGTTTTCTTGATCATACCATTCATGCTTCCTCTTCATACGCTATGTTCGTTAATTACTATTAAAGTTGGAAACGTTTGAAGAAGAAATGAAGCTTACTTTAAAAGTAAGTATTACATATTTGAAGTGTAATAATGACAAATCCTGAAGATGCCTCAATTTCAAGGATGTAATCCTACTGAGGATGAATCTGTAACGACTTTAGTCTGAAATGAGTAATTCTCAAATTGGTTCGCGCTTTAACCGGACGGTTTGGATTAGTATAAAGCATGACAATAAACTCATTTCATTTCTTCAGGCTAGTGTTGACATAAAAATGCGTTGGAAACTTTGCGTTCCAGTCTCGAGATTATGTAAATCGCGAAGACCAAAGCCTCGACCCCCAACACGGAAATATACAGCGACGTGTCACCTGAGATTTACAGTGAGGTTAGGTTAGGTTAGGGTAGGTTACATTACGTTAAGTGTCATCGTCTAAATAGAATTTTACGGCTGACACATTGAAACTGAAAACTACACTTCTTATCTCTCACTAGCCTTACAATCTTTCCACCAGCAGTCTAATTGCTCATTATACAATGATTGCAATTCCTCGTTCACCGTAATGCCAAAATACTGTTTTTTTTTGTTATTTAAGGTCGCATCAACTTCCAGGTCATTAGCGACTACTATTGCATTTAACGGTATGGTAACTGTGAAGACATGATATGGTGATGATAGGGGGTGAAAGGACGAACACAAGTACACCCATGCCCAAGGCGGGACATGGCTGTAAAGATTTGACCAATCAGTCCAAGGACCGGACCTAAAGGCGGCTCTACACATTTGGCATTCAACGAGTAGCGAGCTACTTCTCGTCCAATCTCTAGCAACTTGTGCTGGCTTAGGAGATGACCCAAGGGCATCAATTGATACCATTGCCCATTACCTCTAAACGGGAGGACTCAGGGTTGAGTTCCAACGGTGGCAGGATTTTCGACAAGAAAACATAGCTGGGTTGAAATCTGCAGCTGTCTGGGGGAGAATTTGAGAGGTTGGCTGCACTGATCGGTAGTTCTCCGACCAATACCAGGCGAATGTCGGAGCAAACGGACCACGGTCGCAGGCGAGGTTTCTTCTCTCTTCCTAGGCCTATTGTCATCCCTTACATACATGCACTACACTACCACACACGTGACAGGAGATCAGACGGGCCCCGTGAGAGATACCTGGTTGGGGAAAACCTCGCTAGTCCACGTTCATTTCGGCGCCGGATTTCCCTATCTAGCGGGGGGAAATCACCGCCGCCAACAGAGATATTAAAAAACATACACTACACTTGAACCTCATCCGCAAATGATCGCTTCCTTTGACCACGTCCGAAAGACCGATACGCGATTGGAAACGTCTAGCACGAAATATTCGGCAAATTACTTCTAGGCTGTCCGGGTGACGCCGCGACGTTGGCAGATAGGCCGACGTTTCGCCTGTCATGTCGCAGGCTTCTTCAGGGTACTGACACAGTAAAGCTCTGACGTGGCAGGCGAAACGTCGGCCTATCTGCCAACGACGCGGCGTCACCCGGACAGCCTAGAAGTAATGGACTCGAGCCGCGGAAGCCTACGTGTACATATTCGGCAAATGGCAAGCAAATCGGCCACACTACTCGGGGTTCGCCATGAGCGGTCGCTCTCTACTCGCCGAATGCGAGGAGCCGCCTTTAGAAGGGAGTGGGGACAGAGTGGGAAAGAAATAATCGTGCGCATGTCTGCATAGGAGAAATGTCATGAAAAAGACCAATCAGAGCAGCTGGTTACTAAATGTTTCATCCAGGCGTCGGTCGGGTTCGAACAGGTTATTTCGACTAAGAAGAAAATCCCGCACTGTCGAGACTAAATTAGGATCTATCTGTTTAAACTATTTCCTAAACATATGAAAAATTAATGTAAAATTGGTATGTAGAATCCCATTAATAAAATCGATTACTGCTTATGCTTGTTTATTAACAATTTCTATAGGTTTTCGCTTACTTCTCCAGAATTATTAAATAAATAGGAACAAAATTAGCTTTGCCGACGGTATATTTACAACACACAATACATTTTGTAATATTCACTTAGTATTTCTTGTAAGAAAAGCCTTTTACCTTGCGTTTAAATTCGATTTGATTTTTTTAATTCGATAATGCGTCAAAAAAAGGTTATGACGTATGGGGTATAACAAAATCGGCGCACAAATACCTTGAACCTTTTGTTTACATATATCTACATTTTAAATAACCGGCTAGAATTCGCCTAAAAATCTACATATTAGTTCACTGTGGAGACCTTTCTTCAGCAAGACACATTTCAACTGCCTTGCCAAATACAATTGCCTACTGAGTTATACACAGATCCATGGGTATACCACAAACAGATTGTACAGTACAGGAAAAAAAATCATAAATACATGTGACGGCCCACTCACCCTTCTGGTCATCCTTCTCAGCAGTCGCCGTGAGGTGGGGCGAGTCATCGACGTTCCCTCTGGCTCCTTTGATGTCCACTGGGGACTATTTTTCGCCTGTCAAATTAAAACGGTTTACGTCATGAACGGTGACAAATATAAATATCCTTACAAGAATTCTGCAAAGGTTCCTCATCAAAATTAACATAAAGAAATCTAAATTCATGATATTAGGGAAAGAAAGAAATTA